TGGTTTCAAAATGCAAAAAAATCAGAAGTGCAAATGAGGAGGCAGGCAAAAAGTTGCAGCCTTTTGCAACAACCTACCTTTGCGAACAAGGATTTTCCACTACTGAACATAAAAACAAAGCAGAAAAATCCACTGGACCCCGATGACAGTATCCAAATTGACATCAAAATGCCCCAATTTTGATGTTATTGTATCAAAAACGAAGTAACATCATTTTTCCAAAACTTGAAGTGAAAAAGTTTTCAAAGAAATGCTTTTGTTTCTTGATGAAGATAATTTATTTTATCACATATATTTCATACTTTTATTATTATTCTCCATATCAATAGATTCAGCAAGCCTTTTTAATTTAAATAATCTATGAGTTTCTCCCCTTCAAATCAAGGGTGTAACGGCTGCGTAATAAAATATATTTTGAGGTAATAGGTTAAAAAGTTCGCCGACCCCTGCAACAGTAAATGAACATTGTCGATCCACTGCTGGATGAAGCCTCTAAGACTTCGCCTGAGACCTCTGATTTCTACCATTTTAATCTATCTTGATCCAGCGAATTTCTTCAACTGATTTCGTGCCATCGATAGTGAAGTCTTTTGCGGTCATTTACTCTTTTGGAACCCAGTCTAATGCCTCTCTAATTCAGCAATGATCGGTTCTTCTTGCAGCGTTTCCTGACCATTGCTAATTTAGCGTCTTCGTTAAATTTTTTTCATTTTCCTATCATTTCTTGCTGTTCCAAAGATGTTTCCATGCTGTGTTTGGTAGTCTGTAATTTATAAATAACTTTCAAGCTTACGATCCACGGTTCGTACTCCTAGGAAAGCACCGAAAGCACACACTAATTGAAAACTTCCGTTTCAAGCACAACGGCAGTTTTCCAGATAGAAACATTTTTAGTCTTCCAGAAAAGCTCCATGTTATTTTTATTCTTCTGCTAATTCAGTATAATTCGCTCTTCGTTGCAGAGATGAGTCGTCGTACATCGACAGGTTTTGACATTTCTTTGAGCCCAAGTCCGTTTATCTCAACAGGTCCTACTGTGACATATTTATTAAACATCACGCGACTCTTATTCAGATTTACTTTCGGTCGTATTTCGATGCTAGCATTATTTAGCACTTGGATTTTTCTTTGCAGTTTTTCTGGCGCAGGTAGTTTAAGTAGCATCCATTTATTTCAGCCCTAATTTTCCCAAGGATGTCTTCAAAACGGCTTCTAAATCTACGGCGAATATCTTGGACTCTGTTTTCGATTCTGAACTTGGACGTGCTTTTGCGAAGGTTTACACTAGCAGGTTGCAATTCTAGATGCAATTCTAGTTGCTGTACATGGACAGAATACTCAGGAACTGCCAAGGCGATGAGGGTATCGGTATAGGAGATGTTAAGTCGAGAAGGTTGCTGTTTGCAGA